CAATTATTAAATTTGCGGATGATACGACAGTGGTGGGGCTCATAAATAATAACAATGAGTCTGCTTATAGAAAGGAAGTACAAAGGTTGATACTTTGGTGTAAAGAAAATCATCTTACACTTAACATCAAAAAAACTAAAGAACTCATAATTGATTTTAGGAGGAAGAGAAATGTACATTTACCACTGTACATAAACAGTGAGGAAGTGGAGAGAGTTGGTAGTTTTGAATTTCTGGGTACTTACATCTCAGAGGACCTCTCATGGACTATAAATGCCAACATGCTAATGAAGAAGGCACAGAAGAGGCTGTATTTCCTGAGAATGCTCAACAAGTTAAATTTATCTCAGCATTTCTGTCATACTATCGTAGCACCATTGAGAGTGTCCTAACCTATGGCATTCTGGCATGGTTTGGGAGTAGCTCTGTAGTGGACAAAAAAGCTCTACAGAGAACCATTAAAATTGCGAGTGGCGCTTGCAGAGGCTAGCCCAGCACCATTTTTAAAGATCACGCCCTTTCCCCCTGCCTTTGGTAAGGCTCCGAACGGAAAAAGCCTTTCTTTTTTTTTTCCTTTTCTTTTTTCCGTTCGGAGCCTTACCGAAGGCAGGGGGAAAGGGGCACAATCTTCAAAAATGGTGCTGAGCTAGCCTCTGCAAGCGCATTTGTTGTGCAAAAACAGCCATAGGAACAATCGTCTTGTGAGGCACCACTGTATGAAGTTTTCTAGGTAAGAAAGATTCTGCAGTGGCTTATCATTGCCTTCCTCTTTGCAGTACTAACAAGGAGCTTGGGTGTCACTGCTGTTGTCTGTGGAAATCCTCCACCTGTACCACCTTCAACTACTGCTGTTGCCCAATAGTTGGCCTTCCGGAATTTCTCCACTCCCATCTCCACTAGAACTATCCGTTCTCTTCTGTTGATGTGGCATCTGAAGAGGCTGGATACATCTTACTCTCGTGCTTCAGTGTTTATCATTCTGCCTTGGGTGGCCCTGCTAGAAGTCCAGATGAATACTGGAGTCTAGCCTTCTGATGGCATTGTTCTTGGTTTCCCTGACACATTCAAATTCCCTCAACACGTTAAGGTTCATCCACTTGTGATGTTAGCTACTATAGTATATTATTAGTTCTAGAACTTCTCTAACAGTGTAGGCATTCATACTGAGTCAGTCCAATATTGGCAACTCTTCAGTGGTAGCAGCCTTCTGTCAGGTTTCCTGGGGGTCTTTAGCTACTGTTCACTGCCTAAAGGTACACATATAGAAGCATTTAGTAATTCAAAGCAAAATTGCGGAATTGATGAAGTAGCCACTGTGATATAGTGCAGGCATTCTCAGTGGGGGCCATATGCCCCCCTGGGTGGTCCTGGCACATTTGAAAGGGGCTACAGACTAGAAACAGATCTTCACACAACACTTAATAAGATTTGTTATGCAACTTATACAATTGTGATTCAGCTTACAGTATATTTCTTTTATACTGTATTGTGTTTATGGCCATCGCAAAAAAAAAGTTATGAATGTCTGATACAGTGGATAGAGTGATGAATTCTGATAGGGGATAAAGGTAAAGGTTCCCCTTGACAATTTTTGTCCAGTCATGTTCGACTCTAGGGCGTGGTGCTCGTCCCCTTTCCCAAGCTGTAGAGCCAGTGTTTGTCCAAAGACGATCTTCTGTGGTCACATGGCCAGTGCGACTTAGACACGGAATGCTGTTACCTTCCCACCATGATGGTGCCTATTTATCTACTCGCATTTGCATGCTTTCAAACCGCTAGGTTGGTGGGAGCTGGGACAAGCGACGGGAGCTCACTCCGTCACGTGGATTCGATCTTACAGCTGAAGATCTACAGACCTTACAGCACAGAGGCTTCTGCAGTTTAACCCACAGCGCCACCATGTCCCTGATACCTGTGTTCAAATTCCCACTTGGCTATGGAAGCTCACCAGGGTTGCAATCTTAAATATCTCACATACCTTGAAAAATCCTGTTCGGATGGCTATAAATCAGATGTGGATTCAGAGGACATAACATAAAATAACTTGATAGAGTTTGTCTCTACCTAAAATCTGTTTTGATCTAGAGGAGGTATGGTATATTGAATGTGTTCTGGAATAGTACTCAGCAGCATTTCTTGAAGAAATCTTGGTGCTGGACTTTGCAGTTGTTTTAGGATAGGAGAAAGGTCAGAAATGTATGTGGTTGAGGCACTTCTAAAGTTTCTTTGAACTCAATAGAAGGACTCTGTTACATCAGCACCTGAGAGTGCTATGCGTTATCTTTATTGGTCCGAGAACCATGCCTCTTTTGTTGTCCTGCAGAAAGAAGAAGCATCCAAGAGAATGGCAGCTTTAAACTGGAAACCCTTTGTTTATGGAGGCCTCGCTTCAGTCACTGCAGAATGCGGTATGTAACTTATGCTGTCTTTCTTTTATGCTAATAAGCCAATCTGCTGGTAAATGTCTGTCTTCATTTTCTCTTCCAATGAAAAATTACTGGATGTACATTGCAAAACTTGCAAGGTGGGTTTTTTTTAGCTTTTGTAAATGTGGAAGTTTTAGTTTTAAAACTGCACAGAAGACTTTCCTAGAGAAGGTATGACTCTGGCCCCAAAAAATTATAGTTGGGAACATGTCTTTCAGTGCAGAAGTCTTTAAATTCTTCATGCTAAGCTTAATATTTTTAATTCAAATAATGTATGATTTCCTTCCTTTTGAATCAAGGGGGTAATGTCGGCATATATAAATTTTGGGGGGGTAAAAGGTAAAAAAGTTCCCTGACCCCTGCATTAGTGTGAACTCACAGATGATCACCAGGGGAACTAGTTACAGGTAAGTAACCTGTCCATTTCCAGCAATGTCGTATCTTGCTTGCATAACTTTCTGAGGCCTCTTAACTGTAATAACTGATTCATATTAAATGTTGTGAATGTTTATGTATATGTGCATTGTATACACATTCCATAAAGTCCAAACATATACATAATTTAAGATACACGGTATTTGACATTAATATTTAATATTAATTAATTATTATTTCTGTGCACTTAAGACAACAGTTCTGTTAACCTCTTAAATGCAGAAACATACTTGTGTGATTTATAAACCAAGAATAGAGTCTGTCTCTGTCTTTAAGGTACATTTCCAATTGATCTGACAAAAACACGTCTGCAAGTACAAGGTCAGAAAAATGATGTAAAGCATAAGGAGATCCGTTACCGTGGAATGCTACATGCACTAGTGAAGATATTCAGGGAAGAAGGACTAAAAGCCTTGTACTCTGGGTAATGTACATAATGCATCTGTTCTGCGTGATGTTGAAAACTGCTTAGATCAGCATGTCAGTATGTAGTTCGATACACAGGCAGCAATCTTTAGTGAGGATGAGTCTAGTTTAATTTCCCCCATTTATTAAATGTATTGTTTATTTGTTAAAGGTTTTCTACCTCATCCTGTAATTAGACACATCAAGGTGGGGTACAAGCAATAAATGTAAGATTATAATTATAAAATGATATAAATAATTTTTAAAAATAATCTTAATTAATAAAATAAAATACAAGAGAAAACAAAGCCCATCGTCCAACAGAATAGTCTAAGACAGTAGTTCCTAACTTTGGGTTCCCAGATGATGTTGGACTAAAACTCCCAGAAGCCCTTCACCACTAGCTGTGCTGGATAAGAGTTCTGGGAGTTGTAGTCCAAGAACATCTGGGGATCCAAGGTTGGGAACCACTGGCCTAGGATAATCAACAGGCACTGCCCCCATTTTTTTTCTCTGCCATAGGGTCATTTTTCAGGGTAACCAAGGTTGATTCAGTCTGAGGACCAGCATGATAGCAGACAGGAATGGTTTCAGATCGTCTGTATTTTCCAACAGTGCCTGAAGCGGCGTCCATCTGTTCTTTCCTGGGAAGGAGGATATTTGCAACAGGGCAACTGTTCTCACATACCTCTGTGTCCATGGAAGTAGCTGGCTCCACCTGCTATCATCACTAGTCATTCACCACCCTCTGGACCTACCATTTCTGGTAGATTTTATCAGTCTGGATCTTACAGGAATTGCAAAACTGCACAAGGGTTGAATGTACATGTAGTGAGGCAGACTGGTACCTGGCCTGTCCAGCCACAGCAACTGGAGCTGATCCCAAAAAAGCCTGATTTTATGATACTTCTAAGTACTGTATCTCCCTAAAATGGCACAAACTACAGTGTCAGGTCCTGTGAGAGAGAACACTTAATAGGCTTCCTATGCGTTGCTTCAAAATAAGAATCCTAGTTCATTCCTGAGCTTTATGTGAAGAACAGATATCCAAGTATACATCTGAAGGCCTAGCCTGTTGTTGCACTTTACGTTAAGCCTTGAGAGAAGACACAGCAGAGATGCCAAAACTACCCCCCCCCCCTTTTCTCTGGCTGCCTGGAAATCATAGGTAGTCTCCTGTTATAAACTGTAGACAGGTATACTTGTAGGAGGAATGAGCTGGAATTTTTAGCATGTACACATTACTGAAACAGCGCTGTCTACGTTGGCTTGTGTATGTCATGAGAATGGCTGATGGTATGGAGAATTAGTGCAGGGAAATCGCCTCAGAGGGGGACCACAGCTACAATACAAGGATATCTGCAAGTGGAATCATCAGGCCTTAGGAATGGACCTCAACAGATGGGAAACCTTGACGTCTGAGCATTCAGCCTGAAGGCAGGCGGCACATCACGGCCTCTCCCAATTTGAAGAGACCCTTGTCCAGCAGGTCGAGGCAAAGAGGCAGTCCTAAAAGCAGCAAAATCAGGGATGTGGACAGGGGACAGATTGTATTTGTCTTCAGTGTGGAAGGGACTGTGACTCTCGGATTGGCCTTCTCAGCCACAGTAGACGCTGTTCCAAGACCTCCATACAGAGCACGTTACCATAGTTTTTTGAGACTGAAGGATGCCTACTATACTTGCAGGAGGAACAAAGTACACTTTCCTTATTCTGGTAGCCAGAGAGAAAATGCTCTTAGAAGAGCTTGGCTCCCATTGTGGGAGGACATTGGGACTCCTTATCCCCAGCCAATGAGGGACAAGGAGTCTTCAGCAGGAGTCACTGAGTGAGAGAGGCAGCAGTGAACACAGAAGTCTCTTAATTAGTCCTTGTTCTCAAGCGTTTTAGATACACTGAGCCCTGCCCCTTCCCAGCTGCCACAGACATAATCACACAAATCATATTTTTGTGTAGAAAGCTTCAGGAAATAACAAAACAAAACACAAATGCCTAATTTTTGTCTCACTTTTTTCCTTGCAGAATTGCCCCTGCTATGCTACGCCAGGCTTCGTATGGGACCATAAAAATAGGCACTTACCAAAGCCTAAAAAGAATGTTCATTGAACGGCCAGAAGGTGGGTGGATTTTCCATCTTGAACTATGCATTTTTACTGTGAGGAATGATTCCCTTATTTCTGATGCAATCATGTTAGCTCTGTTCTTTTTTATCCTGTGCATAAGAAAGAAAGTATATTCCTGTAAAGGCTCTGAGACTGCTGAACCGCTTAGTATCAATGTGCCATTCAAAAACATAAGAGGTTTATTAATGTGGCTTTATAAGAGACAGGGGTCAGGGTGTTTGGAAATTAGATTCTTATATGTCAGAGGTCTCTTTTACACATTGTACTGTTTGAGACAAATGGGTAACCAGAACTGCAGTGGTATAAGAACAAATTAAGATACAAGAGGCAAAGAGTACAGAAAGGCAAGGTAGTGGTTCTTGGCCCACTTTAATAAACCTTTAGTGAAATATATGGACTAATCAAGTTATTTTTTTGAAGACTTGTGTGAAATAAACAGTTTATTCTACTCTGTTTACAAAACTGTTAAATATGACTTATTGCAAACTAATTCCCACTGTAAAGCAGGATTTTGATTGAAGAGACTAAATTGAAAGACAATTGTTAAAACTTTAGTCAGTGTAATGGTATGTCATTAGTTGATCTCTTAGAACTTGCCAGCTGATTGTTAACCATGCCTAGACTGCTACATGGTAGAGACATGAATGTTATTTTGCTTTAGGACCTGGGTACTTCATCTTGTGTTCATGTACAGAACAGATACGTGAAACTGCATGTGTTGCAAAATCTTAAGCATCGAGCAACCCTTACACCACCTGACATCCTTGGAAGAACCTACAGTAAATTAGCTGATTCCCTTAGTATATTTTATTTAGAGAGGCATGGATTCTTGTGGTTCCTGTTTGCAACATTCATAATGGGTCTCCAGAAGATGTAAATAAAAATGCTGTTTGGCCACCACTTTTTAGGAAGCTTGGGAAGTACTGGTTTCTTTGCTGAAGTTACACACATTATTGTTTTTGTTTCTGGGACAGATGAAACCCTGGCGGTAAATGTGTTGTGTGGAATTCTTTCTGGTGTCATTTCATCATGTATTGCCAATCCTACAGATGTTCTGAAGGTAAGATTTTCAGAAAAAGTAGATTCCCAGTGTGTTCATATGTGTCAAAGACAGGGTCCTGTGACTTTCTGAAGGTTGCCTCCAATGTTCCCTCTAATTTTCTGGAGTACTGCTCAGAGGCTCTGCCATGTGTGCACAGAGTTCCAGCTGTGACCAGAAACAAATGAATGAAACACTGGGTCAGCTTCATGCACCCAATGCAGTGCCGTGCACCTACATGGCCTGGAGGGAACACTGGTTGCCTCACATGAAGCATGATGTAACTAGTTTATGGTGGCATGGTCTTTTGAATGCTCTCTGGTTTAAAACAACATTTGGACAAAAACTTGTAGCACAATATACTTATATGCCTTTAAAGTGTCAAAGATCTTCCAGATGCAAAAGCAATTTTCTGTGGAAGCAGTCTGTTGTACAGTTTTACTGATGTGTTAACAATTCCATATTACAGTGCTAATGTTATATACTGTATATTGATGTGCTGTTATGCTGGGTTTGTTGTTAGCTAATCTGTGTATCAAAGATCAGGCACAGAAAGGTGACACAATGAAAGAACTGCACACTTTGGAAGAAGGGTGTTTGATTGCCACAGAGCCATATATGGAGTAGAAAGGGAACCCAGCAGTGAAATTTTAAAATTTGTATAGCAATTATCTTGGACGCAAAATACCTCCAGAAGGTATTGGAGACCCATGTTAGAGGCGAATTAGCTATCAATTGAAGATGTGTTTTTGAAATCATTTGTGCTCTTCCTCTCCTTTTCCTGCTCAGTGTAGAACTATGCACTGATGAGCGGTGATTAATATGCGATTGGTTCTCAGAGCTCACATTCCATGACATGCAAGAGATGCTGGGGAAAAGAAATGTGCGCACTTTAAACTGGTTATATAGCACTAATCAGTAACAATGAATTCTCGAAGTAGATCGTGTTGGGAACTTGTCAGTAAAGAGCCAGTGCTGGTTTTTCAGCATTTTATTTTTCTTCTGTACCCTTTAGAATCAATAAAACAAACCCTATCAGAAGCCCTCTGAGGGGACATAGAATGGGGCAGAAGAAGTCCTCTACTGATGGTGAGAAGCTTTACTACCTGGAGCCTCCACCTTCCTCAGAGGTGCCAATAGAACTACAGAAATTTCTTTGGGCATAGCAGAAGAGCTGGTTGTAGAGTGTCAATCAACTTGGGATCCACAGGCATTCCAGGGGCATTGGAGCCAAAGCCCATTTGCTTCTTTAATCTTGTCTTGGGTCAGGCAGGCTATTTATGTCACTATTGAAATAGGATGGGTCCTTCCACCACAGGAACTTAGAAGATACATCCAAGATATGATGGGGAATTAACAGGAAAAAATGCACGACCTCTGTACCTTCTGCATTGGCTGGTGTGAGACAGCAGGGCTTGGGAAGTGACAAGTCTTCCCCTGTTTAACCCTACTCACCCATACCTACCACATATTTAACATTATTCTGTAAAATATCATTACTTTAAAGGGGTGGGGGGGCAGAAGGAAAGCAACAAAAAACAGAGATAAAAGTATAAGAATAGCTGTAAAAATCTTTCAACTAACTTGCTCTAAAATTACTAACAGCTGAGGACCTTCTTTAAAAGGAAGGTCATTTCCCTGTGGCAATAAACCAGTTGTTAAGGTCAGGATATTTCTCTTGACAGAGTATTACAGCTCTTCTGGATTTATTTTGCAAACTGTCTAAATCGTTCTCTAAAAAGCAGTGTATACGTTTATTTGTATGGCAGATATTGTTGGCATCAAGAGACATTTTGGAAATTTTTGAGAGGTTGGATAGGGACTCAACCCCCACCCCCGAAACAAATTTCAGTAGTGCACTGACTATGCTGGACATATTTCTGCTGAACAATTTTTGAATATCATCAAATGGTTTGGCAATTTGGAGTTGGAGTAACCTTTACTTTCTCTTCTGAAGTGTAATTAGTATATTCCTGGAAGGAACACCTTGTTGGGAGTATTGCACAAAATTGTCCCACTAACTAATCTCTGGTGCTGCACATCAAGAGAAGAAAATAGTTGGCTGCATAGGTAGTGTCTAATTTAAGAATGGGCCCAAGTTCACATTCCATTGCATCCAAATATAGCAGCTGCATTGGCTGTAATGGAAACATACAGACAAATTCCAAGTGAGCAGCGTATCCTGACTCAGGTTACAGAATTAAGCCTTTAAAAGTGCACATACATTTGTCTTAAACAATTATAATTAAGATCTTTTGGATATGTCATTTTTCTTCCGTATTGATGTTTTATCTTCCTATATGCATCCAAGTTCCTTCTTGTAGCTGACACCACACAGAAGGAAACTTTCCCTACTCTTAGCATGGGACAACAGTAACAAGTGCCTCTGCATTGTGGTTGTTTATTTGTCAATTTATGTTAGCCACAGTTCCTCTGTGGACTTGCTGGGTAGCAGGGACGGGACTGTCCCGAGATGGAGTTCAAAATATCCATAAGTCCTATGCCTGCTAAGTGGTAACCAGTGGTTCTGTAGTAGGGCTTTCTGGCCAGAGGTATTGCTCCAAGAATGAGGGAGTATAAAGCATCTGAAGATTAGGGTCTAAGATTATATTGGATAGGTTCCATTGTCTGGCCACACTTTAACCAACAAAAAGGACATCTTGGTTCCATCACTGGATGATAGCATGACAGCCAGTTTGAGATGTGATTTATATATTCTAGATCAGAATGCAAGCCCAAGGCAGTGTGATACAAGGGGGAATGATCGGCAACTTCGTGCGCATCTATCAAAATGAAGGCACCAAGGGATTGTGGAAGGCAAGTTCTTAAAATATATAGGAGACAAAAATGTCACAATATACTACATTGGCTGGATTGAAAAACAAACAAACTCAAAAACCTAGTGGGAAATTATCCATAGGTTTTTAGTGTTTGTCCCAGCATTTTCATTGCAGAAAACAAAAACTTGTATATAACAGACAGCTTAATTGGTGTGGTGTGTGTGTGGTTACAGCTACACAGGTGACAATGCTAGTGAGTGCTTATATCACAGATTCAGTTCCACGTGGAATCTGTAACAAAATACAGTGGTGCCTTGCAAGATGATGTTAATTCATTCCACAAAAAACGTCATCTTGTGAAAACATCGTCTTGCAAAACCGGTTCCCCATTGGAATGCATTGAAATCTTTTTAATGCATTCCAATGGGGAAAAAAGTCTTGCGAAAATCGTCTATAGAAAACATTGTCTTGCAAAGCGCCATAGCGATTGCAAAAAACAATTGTCTTGTGGATTAATCGTCCCGCGAGGCAATCGTCTTGCGGGGCACCACTGTATAAGTCTTTGAGATTAAAATGTCCCATCCTGGTATGTGAAGAATAAGCAAAACTATGTTGAATTTTTGAAGCTTTATTCAGTGGACATAAATATTACACTTACTGGGTTGTGATTATGTGCAAGTAACAAACCTTCGTTCTTGGAATCGTTGAAAAAAATAACCTCTGAATTGTTCTAATGTTACATCCTAGACAAATATAGATCAGCTGAATAAATATAGTCATTCCTCACTATTTTATGAAATATGGAGAGTAACAAAAACAGGGCAAACCTCAGAGATCAAACTGATCCTGTACAGCAGTGTTTTGCAAACTCTGCACCATGGCTCCGTGGGGCACTGAGTAATCCACCCAGAGGCACCATGAAATCTTCTCATCCTTCCCCCCCCCTTCTCCACTGCTCACCCAAGTATCCTACAACACTTACTTGCAATTTCTCTGGTGTTCAAGCATGGTGGAGAGAGGGAACCCTGGTCCAGTCTTGCCAAAGGACTGTGTTTCCTGGCCTCCTGTTCATAAGGGAGCCTCGTGGCGCAGTGGTTAAATCGCTGTACTGCAGCTAAAACTGTGCTCACGGCCTGGGGTTCAAATCCCAGGTAGCCGTCTCAAGGTTGACTCAGCCTTCTATCCTTCCGAGGTCGGTAAAATGAGTACCCAGCTTGCTGGGGGGGCAATGTGTAGCCTGTATAATTAAATTGTAAACTGCCCAGAGAGTGCTTGAAGTGCTATGGGGCGGTATATAAGCAGCACGCTTTGCTTTTTGCTTTGCCCTGCCCTGCCCTGCCAAAAACGCCTCCATTTTATCTGGAAGTTGCTTTCTTCAGAGAAGTTAGGCCACGAGTGAGTTTCCATTCAGCCACCTGTATATAGCATAGCCTCTGATTCCATCTAGTGGCTAGTAATACACCTTGGGAAGGTGTATTTGTGTGTTATTTTATTCTATTATTTTTTTCAGGCAGTGTATAAGTGAAACCAGGGGTACTAATCTCTTGGATATCACAGTCCTACTGTACTGGGGAACCACAGTCTGTGGCCAGTAAGTAAAGCCACTAGTTTAGAAAGTTTGGAAACCACTGCTGTACAGGACATGGAAGGGAAGAGAAGCCTCTGTTTTTGGCTCATACTGTACGGTACAATCACAGTTGCACAGATTGTTAGATTATTATAAGTGGGTCATGGTACATCCAGGAGACCATCCTTTTTGCCTGCCATATTAAAGAGAGGCTCTAAAGCAGTAAACATTTGGCAAGGAGCTTGCTGACCTGTGTCACTGTAATGGTTTGGATGCCTTGGTCACAGTCTTCCTTCCCTCAAGATTGCTGGGACTTTTTCCCAGTGCCATTGCTGGCCCAGTCCCTGCCTCCTAGACCAGTTTCAGTATTGCGAGGAAGGACGTGTGGTTCCTTGACATGCTAACAAAAGGGCAGCATCATATTTGCCATGGTGAGCAAAAGATGGAGAAGCAGATATGCAAAGTATATTAAAATATATTCATTTTCCTGGAGAGAAATATTTATGTGCTCAGACATTCTGAGATGGAAATGAAAGTTTAAAAGATTCTTTTCAATTCATATACAGTGGTGCCTTGCTTAACGACGTTAATTCATTCCAGCGAAATCACTGTAGAGCGAAAACGTCTTAAAGCAAAATTAAAAAAACATTGAAATGCATTAAAACCCGGTTAATGCGTTCCAAACTCACAGTCCAGCGAAGATCCTCCATACGGTGGTCATTTTTGGTGACTGTATAGCAAGAAATAAAAGGGACGTGGTGGCGCTGTGGGCTAAACCGCAGAAGCTTGTGCTGCAGGGTCAGAAGCCCAAGCAGTCGTAAGATCGAATCCACGCGACGGAGTGAGCGCCCGTCGCCTGTCCCAGCTCCCGCCAACCTAGCGGTTCGAAAGCATGCAAATGCGAGTAGATAAATAGGGACCACTTCGGTGGGAAGGTAAACAGCGTTCTGTGTCTAAATCACACTGGCCATGTGACCACGGAAAGATTGTCTTCGGACAAACGCTGGCTCTATGGCTTGAAGAGCGGGATGAGCGCCGCCCCCTAAAGTCGGACACAACTGGACAAAAATTGTCAAGGGAAACCTTTACCTTTACCTTTATAGCAAGAAATCCATCCCTAAGCACAGTGGGGAGCCATTTTGAGCACCCGGCGGCCATTTTGAAAACCCGATGATCAGCTATTTTGATCGTCGTAATGCGAAGAATCGGGTCCCGAAGAAGGGAACCGATCTTCGCAAAGCGAAAAAAACCCATTTAAAAGGCGATTGCAATTGCAATCACAAAAACATTGTCATGAAGCAGATTCGTCGTAATGCGGGGTTGTCATTAAGTGGGGCACGACTGTATTGTGCTGGGAAAGATATACCCTGCTAAACCTTCTTAGGTTTTAGATTTGTCCTCTTGTTGCCAAATATGAACTGAATGAAACTTAAGTATCATTTTCCCCCATTTTTGGTGTTGTATTGAGCTATATCTTAAATAAATCACTTGTATGTAAAAATTAGATAATATTTCTTTGTCAATAAAAATTTAAATGTAACAAACACAAAAGAGCAAAAATGGAATTCACAATAGTTAATAAACAAACCAATACAAAAAGTAAAGTTGTGGGAAAGAGTCACTTTCAATAATGTTAACAGTTTTCTGGCATTTTTCCCACTCTCTTTTTTGTTCTCCTTTTTCGGACAGGGAGTGGGTCTTACTGCTCAGAGAGCTGCTATTGTTGTTGGAGTGGAGCTGCCAGTCTATGATCTTGCCAAGAAGCACATAATAATGTCTGGATTTATGGGAGATACAGTGTGTACACATTTTCTGTAAGTTTTAATAAATCTTTCTTTTTTCGTTTTTTGGTTGATTATCTGGTTCTCAACAAGATGGTTTTCTGGGTTCAACTGACCACATATTTGCTGAGTTTTTGCTCCTTCTGAAAAACCTTAAATTGTCTATAATTGTCTATAAATACCGTATTTGCCGGCGTATAAGATGACTGGGCGTATAAGACAACCCCCCAACATTTCCACTCAAAATATAGAGTGGACGGCTCTGCCCGGGCCCGCCCTGGATGTTCATGGCCCGCCCGCCTGCCTTCCTCCCCAATTGGCACGGCCCCACGTCACTCGCTCGACGGCGACGGCAGCGGCTCCTTCCTGGCCCAACTGGAGTGCACCTGACGTATAAGGCGACCCCCCCCATTTGGAGGCATTTTTGGGGGCAAAAAAAGCTGTCTTATACGCCGGCAGATACGGTATGTGTATGTATATATACTGTATATGTGTGCGAGAGTGAGTACAGTGGTGCCTCGCATAACGATTTTAATTGTTTCAAAAAAAAAAAGTTATGTGAAACATCGTTATGTGAAACACCATTTTTCATAGGAATGCATTGGAAACCGGTTAATCCGTTCCAGTAGGCACGGATTGCCGTCCTTAAGCGAAAAAACCCATAGGAAACATTGTTAAACGATACAATGTTTCCTCCATTGGAATGTATCGAAGCCGACTCAATACATTTCAATGGCTTTGTGAAGTCAATTTTTGCAAATTTAAGTGTGTCATAAAATGGTCAAAAATGGTTTTAAATGCTTGGATTAGCTTCTGCACCCTCTAAAGCGGATGCAAAAGTTAATTTGGCTTTGATCTGACTTTTCGTTAATTTATGGTGAATTTCCCCCCCAACTTTTGACAGCTGTCAAAATCTGACAGCTCCATT